CAACTGTTCACCTGTTCACTTCCATTAGCAATGCCCAATAAGCGTAAGGAATGAATTTTCTCGGGAGCACAGCACAAGCAAATACGCATATACTCGCCATGTGATGCAGCAACAACTCGACGGTCCATCGCGAAATTTCATGTTGCAGCATATCAACTGCATCACACACAAAATACGCTGTAAGAACAATTTGCTTATTTTCAGTGAATGTTTCTTATTTCATTATTCAATTCACATGAGGAAAGCAATCGCCATTCAACACACCGTTTGAAATCCTACTGACGATCAGATAGGTTTCGTTAAAACTGAATCAATTCATTCCTGACAGTTGTAAACAAGTAATCGTATATTCATTCCTAAGGAACCAAAAGAAAATTTTTAAAACCAAAAAAAGACAAAACAAATAATTTTGAGAGGATATTCAAAACAAAAAAAAAAACCCAACTAACCCATTGAAAGGAACAGAATGAGCGTGGACCATGGCTGATACCAATGCATCGTCTCATGGAACATTACTTTTGGCTGTAGCAACATAAACGATAACGTGTACAGACCGGTAATGAATGAATGAATCAAGCATACGGTTAAATTACGAAGTCGATATTGCCTGCAGTCTCGCACATCAATGAATAACGAGCGTTTAATGGAAAATTAAAACGGCTGATACAATGCCGAGCTANNATTGCCTGCAGTCTTGCACATAAATCAATAACGACCGTTTAATGGAAAATTAAAACGGCTGATACAATGCCGAGCTAGTTCACTCACCTAAATCCTGAATAATCTCTCCATGCCAGTGTGCGAACTGCATAACCAATCGAGTAGAAAAGAAAGAAGAACGTCAAGAAGGGAATATAGAAAGCCGGCTCAAAAATGTCTTCCAATGGAGGAAGTCGCAATTGGGCATCTGCATAGTTCAGTTGTGTTGAACCAATTTCCATCTTCCTCGCTTGCACTGGAAAGCAAACTTTTGCATTTCATATTTAAGACTTCTTCTGTGTAAAAACTTCTTTCCTATATTCGTAACTACGTTCAACTACACAACATATCATCTACACAACAAACTTTGTCTAATGTGCAAGGGAAAGGAAAATTAAGTGGGCAAGAAAA